GGTTGCCTTTACCGATACTGAGCGTTTGATTGGTGACTCCGCAAAGAACCAAGTCGCGATGAACCCGTAAGTTGATCATTGCTCATCCGTTGTCTAGAGAACTGTATACTAATGTTTGCTTAGCCACAACACTGTCTTCGATGCTAAGCGTTTGATTGGACGTAAGTTCAATGAACCAGAAGTACAGGCAGACATGAAACATTTCCCCTTCAAGATCATCGACAAAGGTGGAAAGCCATTCATCCAGGTTGAGTTCAAGGGCGAGACCAAGGTGTTTACTCCCGAGGAAATCTCATCTATGGTCCTTACAAAAATGAAGGAGACTGCCGAGTCATATCTTGGTGGTGTCGTCAACAATGCGGTTATCACTGTTCCCGCATACTTTAACGATTCACAACGTCAAGCCACCAAGGACTCTGGTCTGATTGCTGGCCTTAACGTCCTCCGTATCATCAACGAGCCTACCGCGGCTGCCATCGCTTACGGTCTCGACAAGAAGGGTCAAGGAGAGCGTAACGTTCTCATTTTCGATTTGGGTGGTGGTACTTTTGATGTCTCTCTTTTGACTATTGAGGAGGGTATCTTCGAGGTTAAGGCAACTGCTGGTGACACTCACTTGGGTGGTGAGGATTTCGACAACCGTCTCGTCAACCACTTCGTCCAAGAATTCAAGCGCAAGCACAAGAAGGATCTCACTGCCAATGCCCGTGCTCTTCGTCGTCTACGTACCGCTTGCGAACGTGCTAAGCGTACTCTTTCTTCTTCCGCCCAGACCTCGATAGAAATCGATTCTCTTTATGAGGGTATTGACTTCTACACTTCGATCACTCGTGCTCGTTTCGAAGAGTTGTGCCAGGATCTCTTCCGCTCTACCATGGAGCCCGTCGAGCGCGTCCTTCGTGACTCAAAGATCGATAAGAGCTCTGTTCACGAGATTGTCTTGGTTGGTGGTTCCACCCGTATTCCTAAGGTCCAAAAGTTGGTATCCGACTTCTTCAACGGGAAGGAACCCAACAAGTCCATCAACCCCGACGAAGCTGTTGCCTACGGTGCTGCCGTCCAGGCTGCCATTCTTTCCGGTGATACCTCTTCTAAGACCCAGGAGATCTTGTTGCTCGACGTTGCCCCACTTTCCCTCGGTATCGAGACTGCTGGTGGTGTCATGACTCCTTTGATCAAGCGCAACACCACCGTCCCAACCAAGAAGAGTGAGGTTTTCTCAACTTTCTCCGATAACCAGCCCGGTGTGTTGATCCAGGTATTCGAGGGTGAGCGTGCTCGTACCAAGGACAATAACTTGCTTGGAAAGTTCGAGCTTACTGGAATCCCCCCCGCCCCCCGTGGTGTTCCCCAAATCGAGGTCACCTTCGACATTGATGCCAATGGTATCTTGAATGTCTCTGCTGTTGAGAAGGGTACTGGAAAAACCAACCGGTATGTATTTTTAAACTCCTATAATATCTCTTTTTCGGGTTATACTAATTTAATTCTAGCATTACTATCACCAACGACAAGGGCCGTCTCAGCAAGGAGGAGATCGAGCGTATGCTTGCGGAGGCCGAGAAGTACAAGGAGGAGGATGATGCGGAGGCATCAAGAATCCATGCCAAGAACGGACTTGAATCCTATGCTTACTCTCTCCGTAACACCTTGAGCGACGAAAAGGTCGAGGAGAAGCTTGACGCTGGTGATAAGGAGAAGCTCAAGAAGGCCATTGACGACACCGTTGAATGGTTGGACAATAATACCACTGCTACTAAGGTAAGTTCGAATATTTTAATTTCTATATAAATGACATGTTCTAACGGCTATACAGGACGAGTTTGAATCTCAGCAGAAGGAGTTGGAGAGTGTTGCCAACCCTATCATGATGAAGTTCTACCAGAGCCAAGGTGGTGCTCCTCCTGGAGGCATGCCAGGTGCTGGAGGTTTCCCTGGTGCCGGTGGAGCTCACCCATCTGGCGGTGGTGATGACGGTCCTCAGGTTGAAGAGGTCGATTAGATGGAAGTCGAATAAACCGCAAAAATACATAGAAGTCTTGTATGCGCAGTTTTTTTTCTCTTTTTCTCTTTCTTCCAATAATGTCATCCTGGGGTTTAAGATAGGGGCGGAAAAGTAGCGTGCTTTATTTTTTCATTTCATTAGGTTTTTTTTTCTCTTCAAGGTTTTCCTTCCTGTGGCTTACACTTTTTCTCTTACCCACTTGTATTTACGGAAGGTTCATGGGTCTATGAAATTCAAGTTTTTTTTTTTTTTTTTTTCATTCGAAATTTGTGTTCCACACAGATTGATTGCATTGACACGGTGAAATAAATACGGTAGAATATAAGCTTTTGTGTTACCGAAACTTCTATCAGTTTCCATTCTCCTGCAGCGGATTTGGGATTTGTGGGAACAAGAAAAAATTTCACATCAACCATCCACCTCCGGCTTTCCCAGTCAGAGAATGGCCGCATGCAGGGCAGGCATGACATGAAGCAGCAGTGACAACACACAACAGCACAACGGCGTCATGATATGATAGGAAGGAAGGAAGAAGAGGGAACTTTCGAACCGTGATAATAATACAGTCTGGTCTGCTACGCCACGGCTTTTTCTGGGTTCTGGGCGGTCCCACTTTTTTCCTTATGACGGAGAATTTCTTTTCTTTTCTGGTATCGTAAGCGAGATTGTGGCGTTTCGGACGAGGCAGGGGTACGCCAAGGGGATGATAGATTGGCGGCAGCGCGCTTAATGTGCCCACATCCATCACATGAAGCAAATTCAGACAGAGTGGTCTTGTGTTTCTTCGTATTGGACATTATCCAGAGTTCGCAAGTACTTGCCCACTTGTGTTTCTTATTCCAGTAGTTATTTGCCTGTCTGGAAGGTTATTGCCCGGCACGATAAGATAGTGTGCGGCAATTGTACTTGTACTTTACAATATCTCACGAAGCGTCACTCGAGAGGTGAATTTTTACCACTGAAATCAGAAGTCAACCCTTATAACATCTCATTTTATTATATGCGAATAGAATCACAACAAGAACAATCTATATATACATGTTTCCTAGTCCAGTGTAGCCTCCTGAATTTTGAAGTTGCAACATTCCATACCGGTTTCCTTACCAGTGTACATTCCACAAATTCCCTGAAATTCGCTTCATCAAAAGATGGCTAACATTCCCGCAACAGTAACCATTCCCATAACAAAACTCATGCCAATGCCAACCACTTCCAATATATCAGAATTGTACACCTGACAACTTCCGGCACCTGACAACATTCCGGACAACAACCACCATACTGTAGGACTTTGGTGGGGGTGCTGGGCAGAAGTGGTTGTTGGATTGCAATCATTTATTTAAGGCCTCCATCCGATCGAGTACTTTGTTATGCAGGCTTCTGGCTTTTCAGGGCTTATTGCTGCCTAGATTAGATGGGTGTCTGGAGACTGGAACTGTCGTGCTTCACCCCCTTGCATTCTTGGAAAGGGGTTTTGCTTAAGCCTGGAAAATACGGTATGCATCTGCACGCGAGAGGAATATACCGTACTGTGCTATTCATATTTATTCAGGTGCGTATGGTACTTCTGGTATGTGGTGCAGGTCTTTTTGTGTGTTACGGTATCCTAAGTGCAATAAAAACGCATCAACTCTCCGCGCCATGAGTAACGACTTGGCCTTCTTATCTCCGTTCACTTTCTGCTACCGTACCCGTATTCACTACAGCGCAGTACTTACTATATCTACGCCTGTCGGTATTTGGGATCCCAGGATTCCGTCTAGGGTAGTAGTAGTTGATCCCTTGAACTATGAGGTAGAAGGCCGGTCGATGAATGTTGGGTATTACAGTAGACAACAATCACTGCAGAGGAAGGATTATCGAGGATCTTTCTGTTGTTACTTGCAGTGACTATCCCAGAGAGATATTTGGCAGAATATACATTGCATATTGCAAGTGTTAACGGCATCTGAGAATAGATAACACTATGATACTTCTTTGGCTGAGATACTTACTTTCTCCCCCAATTCACTTGCTTGGTGTTTTCTCTGGCTTTCCCACCAGATGTCGGCATAGGTGCAGGAAGTTATTTTCATAATTTATATTCAATTCAATCCAACCAATATACAAACGAACGACCGGAAACTCTCCATAAACTTAACTCCATCACAAAACTCAATTTCCAAAGCACCCCAACCCCAACAGGTATATAATTTTTGGGGGAAAAGAACTATTCTTACACTAACGCTACTACTCGTTTCTCAAGCCAATGCATTCTATCCTACCCCTGAAGGATTCCTAATGGACTGGGGGGAGATATACATTTTCCGGGAAACACCCAGCCCAGCACAACCTTCATCCCAAAGAGAGACAAGTAGGACAGCTAGTGATATTGCGTGATTCCGCCCTGAACCCATTCGTCACTAGGCTTTCAAAGCCACGAGTAACTTACAAGTCCGATATATAGCAACAACCAACAACTTACCAACAGAAAAGAAAAAAAAAATTCCATGAAAACCTTTCATTATAATAAATAATCACGATCCTGAACACACACACACACACACACACACACACACCACCCTCTTAACATGTATGAAAACACTATAGAAAAAAAAAGATTGAATCATCCCTCCCATCTCTACTCATGATTCCCTCTAACCCCTACCCGGAGCACCGAATTCCATCCCTAAAGCCCATCAACCCCCATCCAGTCTACTACGATACCAGTACCCCACTCCCAGCTTCTACCCAATCACTCCCACCCCGACCTCACGAACGCACCCAAGAAAACCTCCCTCCTTTCGCGCGCATCCTTGGAACGGGAGAGATCAGCATACCGTACCTGCCAGTGAAGGATCAACTCCCACCCGTGAACCTAAGCCCGACTCACACGCCCGCCCCCCGCCCCCCCTCCTTACACTTATTTCCAACTCCCCAGCACAACCCACAGCCCCCCATCAATCCCCCCAAAACATTTTCGCTCTAAATCGTCAATCACGCCGAGACATCCATCGTCTTCATGGCTTAGTTGGTTACAGCACCGGTCTCACGTCATAAATATGACCCGCTCATAGAGTCGGGATACCCGGGGGTCGCGAGTTCGACTCTCGCTGAGGACATTTGAGACATCTTTTTGCCCCGTGTGTTATCTATATGTATGAATACGGTATGATAGACTTTCTGTGTGGTGCTGTGGCCGTTTGCGGGTGAGTTAATGTCTAAGCTAGTCTTTTGGAGAAGTTGGGAGGGTTTTTTTTTAATTAGTTTAGTGTTGGTGGTAGACGGTGGTGGTTGGTGGTTGTTTTATGCCACGATGTTGATTGATGATAGATGCAAGTGTATGATGGAAAATGCCAACTTAAACAGGTACCGTGAACTTGGAGACTTTCTTGTGCTGCACTAACATGCTACGATCATATCATAACTTCATGAAATTGATAGAAAGGAATTAAAATAAAAAAAATCATTACTCTGTGCATTCCATTCCCCTCCAGCTCTAACAAAAAGAAAACAATGCACCACCCAAACTTGTACCTATACAAAAGAACACCATTGTACCCAATGCAAGCAAGCAACCAGCCAGAAAGGGAAAAAAAGAAAGAAAACACATTCCATTAAACATAATCACTACAAAACTCATTAGCATCCTTAAGACCACAATTAACAAAGGGATAAGAAGAAAACTCACATGAGAAATATACTGAAAGCAACTAGTAACAACCCCCTGCCCACTCTCCTGTCTAAGCAACAAATCCTGAATCTTATCCAACCCGCCATTCTGCTCGTCGGACATATGATTCCAAGTACTCGTATCGCCATAAAGTATGGCAGGCGCTTTAATGACTTGCCTCCCATCCCTGCATCTCTTGCACTTGAAAGTATCATGCGTATCGCTATTGGTGTTGGGCTGGAACTGGAACAACTGCTTCAGCCCGTCCAGGCCGAAATGTCTTTCTACGTCTTCGACGCCGTCGACGACGGACGTGGAGAGTGATTGCTTGTGCGATTGGCGCTGGAAGATCTTCTCCTCGATGGTTCCGGTCGCGATGAAGCGATAGACGAAACAGTCCTTTTTCTGCCCGTCACGCCAGACTCTTGCTAGAGCTTGCTGGTCCGCTGCTGGATTCCAGTCCGGGTCGAAGAGGACGAGGCGGTTCGCGCCGATGAGGTTGATGCCGCAGCCTCCGGCTTTGCTACTGAGGAGGAAGACAAATTCTTCGCCTTCCGGGTCGTTGAACTTGTCGACTAGCTTCATGCGTTTTGTGCTGTTCATTGTGCCGTCGAGTCTTAGGGCACCGTAGCTGTAGAGTGTATTAGTTATTGTTTGATGGGAAGAATATGGGATGAATGGTGACTTACCCTCTGGATCGACAGAGCTTTTCAAATACATCTAGTGTTTGGGTGTAATTGCTGATGAGGACAATCTTGTCTTTTGTCTCACGCTGGATTCTTGCCAACATCCTGTCCAGTACCATCATCTTGCCGGAATACCAAACTTTGACTTCCCTGTCTCTTCCCCTAGCGTCTTTCGCAACATAATCATCAGGGAACAGATCCTCGCATCCGGGTAAATCCTCAGAGAGGTTGAGCAAATCGGGGTGATTGCATAATTTCTTAAGCAGCCCGATAGCTTTCAAAGGCTGAGATCCTTTGCCCCTTAAGATGGATTTAATGTCCGGAGACGTGATGAAATAGTTGTAAAGATCCGTCTGGAAAGGCGATAACTTGCAGAATACGACATGCTCGTACTTGACGGGTAGGTATTTCGACAGGAGATCATTGGTTCGCCGAATGATAAATTTATTTACCAACTGGAGAAGTTCTGCAAGTCGTTCGTCTCCTTTCTTACGATCTTGCTCGGATCCGTCCGCGTCACGACCACGAAGAATAGGAATTTCGTATTGCTTCCTGAATTCATTGTGGGTACCTAAGAAATTAGGGTTCGCAAAATTTAAAAGAGCAAAGTATTCCGAAAGATCATTCTAAAAATAAAAAAAAGATTTTCAGCATATTCCAGTCGGCCATTGAAGTCATAGATGACTAACCTGAATAGGAGTTCCGGACAAGATCACCCGTCGATCAACATTCAAAGTCATCAACGCCTTGTATGTTTGATTGTCTCGATTTTTCAATCTGTGCCCCTCATCGGCGAGCAAAAGCCCAATCGGTATGTTGGCGAGATCAGAGATATTTAGACGTAGAGATTCATAACTGACAATCAGTACCGGCCGAACAACACTTCTGCCGCTAGATATAGCCCATTGTTTGAGTTGTGCCTTAAGTTCCGTCTTGGTAGCCTTGCCGTCAATGGCGAAGGGATTGATCGCATCCTTACCAAGCCATTTTACCAGCTCGTTCGCCCAATTTCCGACTAATGATGATGGACAAACAACAACGCATTTTTGTATTGTGGGTTTTCCGGGCTCGGGTGATTGCTTGAGTAGAGTCCACATCAAAGCGATACATTGGAGCTATCGAGAGTATTAGCATAATGCCGTACCCCTAATTTCTAATATCTTACCGTCTTTCCCAGACCCATCTCGTCCGCCATAATACATCCACTTGCTGCATCATCCGTCATACCTGTAACGCATCTATACATGAACTATAGAAGTAAAATGTTAGCATCCACCTAAAGGGTGTAGCACGATAATCCCAAGCATACCTTGACACCCTCAACCTGATGAGGCCTCAAAACCTTTGATAATCTTGGATCAATGACTACCGGGACTTTTGGAATCTCTTCCTTATCCCCCTTGTTCAAACCTAGTATCTCGGCCAAGCTCTTGTGCATTCTCGGGGCAGGCTTCTCCTCTATCTTCACCTCACCATTCTCTTCAGTGATCTCAACCTTCTTGTCATCAACAGTAGGATCATAAAGGACAATTGCAAACTCGCCACTAGGGTCATGTAGTGGTTTGGCGATAAAATTGACGCTCTTCCTCATCCCCAACGCTGGGGCAGGTCTAAATGGATTCCATGTACCAGCATCTTTGTTAACAAGCGGTACTGCAAATCGTTGTCTAAACACAGTACCCTTGTCCTTCGCTTTAAACACCGGAAAATTCTTCATCACGTCCAGATTGCCCAAAACAATTCTCTTCTCTGCATCCTTGACAAATTCCCCATCGTCCTCCCCACCGTCAGCACCTGCGTAAGAACCGACCTTGCGTCGTTTGCGAGGAGGCAAAACTGTCTTCCGTATTGATGGGGCAGATCCAGGCGTTTTGAAAGGTTTGACAAGCTTCGAGAGTGTGTCGGGGCCAGCACTGCTATAGAGTCGGCCAGGTAGAGTTCGTTTAGGGGTCACCGTATTTTCGTCGGCGATGACAGCCGCGGCCTTCTTTGGACGATGCATCGTTGCTTGATAGAGATAGAGAGAGGGGGCAGCACTGTTTGTGTGTTTGCTTGCTTGTTTTCTTGTTAGTTCTCGTGTTCTTACGAGACGTTGTGGATGAACGCGTCAAAAGAGGGGTTAGCGGCCACTGCAGAGTGGGAGGAAGACGCGTTGTCACCGAGTTTATCGCGAAGCTTAGTGGCGGAGTCACGAGTCAATTTACGTATGACACATCGTCGTGCTAAAAAAGATTTATGCCTGAAAAGTGAAATGAAGGAGACCCATAACAACCCTAACCCACATTACTTCCACTCAATTCCCCTCAAAAGAAATAGTGGCAATTACTGGTATGGATGTAGAGCAGTCGATTCTTGCCCCTTTGTCGAAGGAAGAAAATTACAGTAGCAAAGTTGGGCAGTAACAGCACATCACCAGATTATGGTGAGCTGCTACCGGTACAGTATCATAGGCCATATGATTACTGGGTGTGAAGAGTTGTCGTGGCCCTGTCTTAGCCTCCAAAACACTTCTAAATTCCGAGCAAAGATTTCGCGCCTCTCGTAATTGTTCCCGATCTAAACCCCAGGGCAAGCCTTAGGCATACCAGAATTGCACTATGTCCCTATGAACGACGAAGCAACCAGCCCGTGTACTCTATGATACGAGGATCATATCTTGTGGGAAACTCATTCGATTAGTGTAGTGTCACTTTTGCATTTTCAAACCCTGGAGGTCAATAGCTGCTGTAGTTGCTCTTTGGGGAAAAACTCTAAGCAATGTGATTACGGTGCGAGTACCCTACTGCACTGTAACTTCCCGGACTTTTTCAATGGTAAAGTAGTCAATTCAAGATTTTGTTTTTCTGGAAACTATCTCAGAGCCTTACAAGTACTCTGACGTCTCAGGAGTGTTTTAGGAGTGTCAGAGTCAGACTTCCGGTGCAATAACCGAGTGATTTTAAGTGACGGACATGTGACTCTGGCTCATCTCCAGACTGGAAGTTACTGGAATCATTAAGAATGCTGAAAACTGGGGAGTAGAATTTTTGTCAAAATTTTCCACCTTAGCGAAAAGTGATTATAATAAAGCTTGTGTGAACATTTGATCCATTGATGAGAGATGCTGTAACATGGTTAATACAAAGTCTTAGCAGCAACAGCAACATAATATTATGGGGATAATCGCCATGCCTACCTCGGCGGTTATCCATACGTAAGAGGTAGAACGCAAAGTCCCACCGATGAGTCCTCCACAAGCAACCAAAACCAACTTGTGATGAGGCTCCGCAGATCGAACTAATACTAACAAACTCCAGAACAATACCAATAGGACCTTTGAGAAACAGCAAACTGAGTTTCTCTCATGGTCAAACTTGAACAAACTTGACTCCGCCGCCGACAAGTGCTTTGAGACTGTGTCGGTTCTCGGAAGCATTTGTTTCCCGCTTCTCGGAGGATCACCTGCATAACGCAAGAACAACACAGCAATCGTGCTTGGCGAGCTGGAGAAGAGCAACTTTTCCAATCTTAAAAAGTTTTTTCTCATCGCCGAAAATCATTGAGATATTTTCCGACCGGGGAAGGTCATTGAGCTCGTATGAGTTCTAATCCGTTCAGAAAGAAGGCTTCGGCCGAACACCCCCGAACATCGCAGGATGAGCCGACTCCGAAGCAAGAGCCACTAGCGCTTTCGACATCGCCGAATCGTAGCAGAGCAAGCTCATGGGAAGGTATAATATATATGAGACCCTCCCACCTCCTCTTACTTATAGGGGGGAGAAGC